GGAAGGATTGCGGAGCCATAGTTGCCATGATCACTGGGGAATTATCAAATACTGCCTTCAGTGAAGAGATAGTATGTGACAATTGTTTCACCATGTTTGGAGAGCCGCTTGGCCTTTCTCAGCCATTACAGTCCCGTCAGAAATCACCATATCAAAGCGGTTTCTTCAAATGGTTTTGCATCTGCGAGGTTCCCTTGTTATTCTGGTCAACAGTTGGTGTTGGTGCATACTCCGAAACGACAGAGATGTCAGTAACGTGTCCCGTCAGTCGTACTTTAACCAGCCGGTTTCTGTGCACGTAACGCATGGCTAGCCTGTCGCGAAGGAATCGCATGGCCCGTTGTGATAGAAGGTGAAGTGGGATTTGGCTCCCAGGATCTCTGCTTCCCGAGTGCCTATGTTGGGAATTCAGACTTCAGATGGGCAGCAGACGTCCGCGTTACACTTCTAGTAGTCATACATGCAATTCCGCCCTGCCTTTAGTTCCCTCCTCCAATCTTTTATGCCTAGATCAAAAACAAATGGCTTAGTTGTGTCAGACCCGCTCTGTGACCGGCCAAGTTTGTGGCGCGGATAAAATGAGAGACCGGGTCTCGTGCCAGCCGCTGCATCTTATCTACTCTCTGAGTGAATTGTGCTTGCTACTGATACATGTCTGAGGTGGTGAGGGGCGTAGGACCGACTATGTGGTAACCCTCATCGCTAAAATCTGTTATTTCCTGGGTTTTCACTACTCGCTAACCGACGCTTTAAGTCAATTCTACAGACCGGAATGCGGCTGCAGCAAATTCCGCATGGTGTGAACTAACAACATTCACCCACGTAGGTACCGAGCGAGTTAAAGTCGGTTTCTTAGATGAAAAACTAGAACGTGCGTGGCACTCGCACGCGTAAGCCCTTACGCGTGTTACACTGCGTCAACGATCAAGTCCATTCGCCTGGAATCCGCCTCGGCATTGGGACGAACTAGCTATTGGGGAGAGTGAGATCGATGTTAAACCGAACTCCACCACTACGACCCAAATCCCTCAAGCCACCGCCGTCAACCCATGCAATAATGGTCCTTTCTACTGAGGTGTCACGGTAGCGGACGCGGAAACGGTATAATATTTTACCGGTTAAGGCACGTGTCAAGCGACGGTGGGCAGGTGTGGCATCCTTGCGTAGTTCTTATCCAATCGCTGTATTTATTGCGGCCTCCGGTCTCTGAATGTAGCGTGGCCAGTTCCGAACTACTCTGTTCAGCACTCCGGCGTCCTTTCCGCTGCGTGCCGTCTCTCAGGAAATTCTTCGCATAGGGCCTAACTTGCCCGGTAAACACACGATCCGTATTAGGGATCGTAGCTGGTCCTACCTATGGGCTACCACATTTACGACTGAAAGTGTTAGCCCTGTATTGTTGTTTTTACATATGGTCCGGTCCTAAAACACCGATTTATCTGAGCCCCGTTTACAATGTGACAGTCATCCTGTTGCATGTCTCGCACAAAAATTGTCATCCCGAACACTCAATTTACAGTGCAGCCATCCCTGCCAAGTCCTCATTGTCTCATCCCTTCTCTCTCCACTCTGGCATTCCACCAAAATAGTCTGAAGAGTCGAATTCGCCGTCCAACGAGGAGCGGGATTTAAGCACTGGTGAGGTGTCGCTTCCCACATTTTCTTTTTGCCCCCACCCATACGCACTAAATGTGCAGCACGACGCGCACACCGCCCGAGTCTGAATTCTGTCAACGCATGTTCTCCCATCCCCGCCTCCGTCATCCTTTGAATCTGTTTCATCTGCCCTGTCTTCATCCCCTCACTTCTGGTGCTTGCTAGATTTATCTATAGCTAATTTGCCCTATACTTATTTTTGTAGAAGACCTGAACCTCTCCTGGAACGAAGACCGCATCATTTACCTGTAGAGAAAAGAACTTTCCGGCCGCTGTCTCCTTATCCTCCTCTACCTCCCTGCGGCCTCTACTCTTTCCTTACAAACGCATCCTTACGCCCTCAGTAAGAATCGCATGCTCAGCTCTTTGTCCCCATCCCGCGCGCCGCCCTAAACCTCCCCAACTTGATTTTGCCCAGCCCAGTGGTGCCATCGGCTCATATTTCGTCTTTTCATTTTTACTACCAAATAAGCTTGATTTACTTTTTACTCTTATGCTATTTCTGTTCGCTTCTATCACTTTTACATGCTTAGAACAAAGATTTCCTACGTTTCCGATCCCTATCCTTTTTGATTCACTGGATGAAGGGACCTGGTCAACATCCTTACTTTGCAGCACGGTGGCAACAGTCAGCCCACAAGGGCCAGCGTGACTGAGACGGCATCTGTCAGACTTGCTCATGCCCCAAACCAATAATCCCGACCGAATAGAAACCGATGCAAATACAAGGAATAAATGGTCCACGGGGTGGGCCAGCAGCACCCTGAAACCAGGGTCCCGTCGGTGCCTGTCAATCAGTTGAAATTTGTCAGGGCAACTGGCACACTAGGACGGGCACATCGGTCATGATCCGCGTCACGAAGCAGGCTACCACCAGAAGACGATGGTTTGCCCAAGAAGCGTGATCAGATCTGTGCGCCCGTTCAGTGTTAGGGCGTGGCGTTCCGGGTCAGTCTAACGTCCAGAGGTCTGCCGGAGCGATGCGGTCGGGGAGGTGGGTGTTACAGACGGATGGCTTGACAAAATTAGTGGCAGTCTATCAGGAAGAAGCCCTGGCTCTTATTGAACGCAACGTCTGCATACTTCTGTCAAGCACTTTAAATGAGCTTCCGCTGTCCCGGAGAGCGAGTCGACTCCGCAGCCGTGTCGTTTTGGCGCGTCTGAAATAGGTCGTACCCTGTCAGCCCGCGCTTCCTACCAGGACTCGATCTAAACAAGAATACCTCGAGTTCGAATTCGATCTTCCGGTATGTAGCACCTCACCGGGAAAACGGTATTGGCGTTAGTTATCCCGACGTCAACACCAGCTTCACTGATATGCTTGTGCTAGTGTACGCATCTGATTTCTCCGGAGTTCTCTGGTCGAAGACGAATGGCCTTTGCGCGTCAACGGCAAGTAGATCCGAACTGTCCGTTCGGCGCAACAGAAACAGGCCAATGGCAGACCTTACATAGGCAAGACTAAGTTGCCCATCGGTATATCAATTTTTGGGTGGTGACCCCGCCGGCGTGCTGCACGAGCTCCGTCACATCACTGGGACCTCAGCGCTGCATGTGCGAAGGTTAGATACAGGCACACACGCCCGTCTCCGGAACTTACATTGAGTCAGGAAGTTCCGGTTTGCCGCCTATCGGCAACAACCGTAGTTGACACGAAAACCATAACTGAGTAACAGGATGTGGCTTGCGCAGAAGAGTCATCCAGTCGTCTTAAGATATACCTGCCTCCTTTGTACACTTTGTTGCCCTGCGTCCTTGTTTTGAAGTTTGCCGCCCCACTTTCCGCACACCTGGCGATCCTGCACGATTCTCAGCACTTCAAGCTGATTATGAGATATCTAAATAACATTTTCATTCAGTTCTCGTACTTCTTTCTCCTCACTGCGAACCCCGGTGGGCCATTTCACGTGGGACACTTGTCTCCGCAGACGTTCTCCAGAAACCCTGATGTACCTGCTCCTTCGGAGCTGAACTCGTTTTAGCATTACACTGACTGCACTCATTGTGATACAACTAGCAAGACAAGCAGTCCGCAGTTCTCGTCAAATTATTTTATTTTGATAAGCGTTTAGTCGAATGCGTCGGCAATGAGAAGCGTTTCCGTTCACCAGATGTTTAAGGCATAAAAAGGTTAGACGACTACTCGAGAGCCGTTGATTCCGTGATCATGGCAATATGGACAGGCTACGGTGAGGAAGATTACCTAAGGCTGCTTAAAATTCCATTTGGTTTATACCTGATGTTATGTCTTATAGAACTGTTCAAGAGGCAGAAAACTAGGGCGACCAGAGAATCGATCATATTTTGGAAATCTTTGACACGCCAGGCATGCATATACGGCTACCAGTTATAGCTAGACCACCTGTAGTACTTAATTTAGGTATTTGCTCCAACTTCACATCATGGTTATTGAGATGCGATCATGAGCTTTTGTCCACAAGATGCACTCAAGGGTCTGGGATGATATTAACTGCATGCTCGAGGGACAACTAGGCTTTGGTGTAGTAATCGTACCAACTTGTCTCTCTTTCTAGGTTGAGGAATTGCGCCACCGCCTATGTCAGTTATAGTATGGTGAGGTTACGAAATTTTCAGAGTGGGTTATCGGTTACACATATTCAACTCACTACATCAACACCAGCATGAACATCCACGGAATCTAGTCTACAAAGAGGGGTGACAGAACCAGAGGTGTTCGACCACCAGAGCCTCGGGAGCATCCCAATTGAGCAGCACAGTCTCCACTGAGCATGAGACGGTTCCTGAGAGGTGCAGACTTCAAATGATTTCGAGACAGCGTTCGAGGTGGTCATGCAGACCTCTGGACGACGACCGAGTGATCCCAGGACAACTTTCCTCAGCAATCTCACCGTCCGTTGAGGCGACGTGAAGAAAGCGCATAACGTATCTTAACGTCTTAAAAGACAGTTAATTGACTCCTTCACACTAATGTAAAACACGGGGGACGCGACTGGGTGAAAACTTACGGAGAGTCTATTAACGGCCGCAGCAGGAGAAAAAAGGTGAATATCAGCACAGTAGCAGTAGCTTCATCTGCTTATAACAATTAGCTACCCAAGAAGTTTTAGCAGGTTGTCCTGGTTAAGACCCGGCTCTCGCGGGGCCTGCACATTTACACGGAGATCCAGCACAGATTAATGCGCAACACGGCATGAGATATTTTAAAAGACAATAGGCGGATGTCATTAGGTGAAAACTGGACCAAAAGACTATTCTGATATAATAGACTGCAGGACCATTGTAACTGAGAAAAGTATACTCAAGATTAGTATGATCACACATTAAAAAGGACATATTTACAAGTTAGTCTTGGGATAAAGTTCCTAGTCACGTCGGTCCCGCTTCCTGTGTGTTGTATCTCGATTGGCGGACGTATCGGTCGAAGAATCACCTGGGCGTTTCTGGGACTTTTTGGCTTCGAGCAAGAATTTGCTCAAGTTGAAAGGATCTTCCTCCTCAACGGCGCCCTTTTCAAACTGAACCGGCCCATCGAGGCGGTGCCCTCTGTCAGTGCCAGAAAACTCACGGCCGGGAACAAATTTCTTCTGATTTTTCAAAGACTCGATGTCACTGCCATATATTTCCGTATCCTTTTGGCGTGGGCGATAAATATGGGAGCCAATATCCGATTCTTGACGCCATGGCTTATCGTAAACATTATACAAGTCATCGGTGCCTAGAAAAACCAAGTAGAACATAATGGAAATGCAGCATACCTCCAGCAAAACCCGAGTCCAAACCACTAGATTGATTAAACAGCCTCTGATCAAAGAGCGACTCTGAGTTCGCGTTTGCCCTTGGATTTGGCACACCCAAGGCTATCTGTTCACTGATATCTCTGTTTTTGTCGCGCTGCGTGCGCAATTTTGTTTCAGCACCTGTCCGGCTTAGGTTTCGGTCGTGCGCGCGGTCTCTTGCACGTTCTTTTCTGAGTTCTTCTCTATCAATGACCCCTGAATCGTCCTCCGTAGGATCAAAACCGGGACGGCGAAGACCAGCTCTGGCTTCTCGGGCCTCCTTGGCTATGCGTTGTAGTTGTTCCTCTCTGCGTTCCTTCGCTTTTAGGGCAACTTTCCGCTCGATTTCGGCTCTCATCTCTACAGCCTCGCGTGCTTTACGGTCCGCCGTGTATAATGCTTCGGCCAACTTCGCAAAATTCTCGTTGATATGCACTGTCTGCAAACCACGTCCATCAGCAGCGACTCTCTTATCCAGGGGAATTGTATAACCACGTGGGTTTTTCCAATTCGATATGCAAGGGGGAATTTTCCATTCTGCCTGCTCCTTGACTGAAACTTTGCGGCTCGGTGAATGCATTAGCGGAGGTGGCGGAGATGGAGGGCCACGTGGAATCTTCTGGTTTATTCTAAAAAAATATACCCGAAAAGAAAGCAGTACTTGAATCGGGGAGGCTCCATTGGATCTTTCTGAACCTCGACCATCCTAACTAGACGCTGTTCGGCGCCGCTATTGTACGCCGGCCCCTTCTGAGAGGGAGTATATTTAATGTATTCGGCCGGTCCCGTCCTTTCAGCTCTCCGTACTGGTAACGCCGCGGCAACCTTCTGCTCGATTAAGGCTTCAAGCGCTTGCCTCGTCTTCTCTGTAGTCTGGACAAAAAGCAATGACAAACACAAGTACCTCTTCAATGACGTCTTTGCTAGGCTTCTGAAGCTCAGCATCAGCCTCATCTATCGGTTTTGGAAGTAAGTCTGTGAATTTCGAGTGGATTATTCTGTCTCGTGAGTGGCCTTGTCGGATGAGTTCGTCATATCGGACATTGCCATCTTTGTCGGTTTTCATAACTAGAGCGTTCGAAGAAGTTTTTTGCCTTCCCATCCCCAAAGGGTACTGTGGCATATGGATTTCCGGAAATGCCCCACCATCACCAAAATCTTCCTCATTTCTTGGAAACCAATGCTTGCGGTGGCCATATGGGGGCACATTTGTTTTCGACACAATGGCTCGGCCTTTTGACTGTAAAATACTTGAACTAGCGTCCACCACCCTCTGTGCAGGGGCTGGAAGTTGGCTAAGGTGGGAAGAATGTGTTCAAGACGCAAAAGAACCAGTACCTGAGAAGCGACATTAGACGGCACTCCCGGCGTCGATAGAAGGGCCCGTTAAAACAAAACTTCACCCGTTGGACAGATGACAGGAATCATCAAGGCTATTTAGTTGGTTTCCAAATATACTAGTGCCCTGTATTTGAATGGTCGACTGCCTAGCAGTTTTAACCAAGAGCCGAGATTTCTCATCGCCAACCAATATAAGATCTCAGAGGTTGGACGTTTCAATTAACCGATGGATACGATAGTTAATTGAAGTATTGATTCAACGGGAAAATGTTGTGGGACGGAACACCTAAACGGTGATTAACATCAGTTTGTGCCGCATGCAAAGCCTCTGTGCCTAAGCATGATCTCGTACTGATTGGACCCATGATCTTATGCAGCAGAAGGGGATGCAAGTTTTAATAACATTTGCACTGACTCGGAGAAGGCCCTCTGTATTATCCCACAGTACCGGTTACTGAATAACATTTGCGAACCTGATGTAACGTTGAATTTCACTTTGCCCAACTCTGGCACCAGATTTCTGACAGTCGCAGATAGTCGACTGGTGCATAGGGTAGGGAAGAGAGCATGAGGTTGTCTCTGTAGGCCCCACTATCATGGCATTTCAGCGCATCCATCAATATTGCAAATGTGATGCGTTTGAATCACTCGCGATGCATCATGGGTCGTGAGCAGAAAGATTGCTAACTGACGCTGGTTCGACATGGACCTTGCGGTCAATCCTGTATTTGTGGGTCTGTTAACTGGCTGTCTGAGGGTCAGAATTAATTTACCCTCTCTACGGCACTCTCGCGCATGCGAGGTCAGGGCCGTTCACCCTATTTGTATGGAGACCTCGTGTGCTGTGCGTATGGCCAGATCGTGTGTGGCAAACGTAGGCTGGCCTTTATCTGTTGGGGATTTTAACGCCCCTGGCACTGATTGGCAAACGTGAACTGCGCAAGACAATTTTAATCCCAAACCACCACAATGGACAACGGTCAAATTTCTCTACCAGAACGCTACCTTTGGAACGCGGGCTAGGAAAGAACAGCGGTCGAACTGACTTAGTCTTATTTTAACCCAAGAGGAGGAAAAGGTACTAGATCCAAGAACCTAGTTCTATATTTGCCCACCCATCCGTTCGCCAACCAACGTCCCCTCCTAGTACCCTTCCCCTTTTACTCCTCCCTACCCTCCTTAATCGGGGAACCACTCCTTTCGTCCGCCATATTTAGGGTCGAACTACTCCGGCTGGAACCTGCCAAATCGTCCGGCCCAGATAGAATTCCTGCGTTAGAACTTCATGAACTTGCTAATGGACCGTGCGGAACATTGTCTGCAATATTTCAAAAGTCATTTGCAGAAGGCAAGCTCCCACAATAGTGGGAGTGCGCACTCATCACTCCGATCCAAAAAGGAGGCTCAAGACTTGACTGCGGAAATTATCGTCCTGTCAGTCTTACTTGCATCGCGTGTAAAATAATGGAACGCATTATCAAAAGACACTTGATGAAATACCTGGAACAGAACAAAATATTGTGTGATGTCCGACATGGCTTTCGTCCAGGGCGTTCCTGCCTTACGAGTGTTCTTTACTCGCACGAGAAATGGCCACGAGCTACCGATAAGGGTTTTCCAGTAGATGTCATATTTTTTGACTTCAAGAAGGCCTTTGACAGTGTCTCCCACAGTCTTCTTTTACAGAAGATCTGGGACGTAGGAATTCAAAGAAGAATGTTTAAGTGGATCAGGAGTTTTCTGCCCTCCGGATTACAAAGAGTCGTCGTTAGTAATTCTACCTCGGAATGGGTAAAGGTGGAAAGTGGTGTCCCACAGGGTTCTGTCTTAGGCCCAGTATCCTTCCTGATTTATTTTAATGATTGCATTGGCGAAGTGAATTGCGAGGCCCTCATGTTCGCGGATGACATGAAACTATGGAGTGAAGTCAGATGTGATGATGACGCAGAGAATTTGCAGTCGAACATCGACAAACTGTGTGCTTGGTCGAACAGATGGCTTTTGAAGTTTAACTTGTCCAAATGCGTGGTCTTGCACCTGAACACCGGCCGCAATGCCTCTCCCAAACACCAGTACTATATTAACGGGACGGCATAACAAACTGTAGAAAGACACAGAGATCTGCGTCTATGGTCGACCACAAATCTAAGGCCATCACAACACTGTAGAAAGATGGTCCAGAAGTCAACTAGTACTCTACACTGAATCAGACGTGCATTTGGACTATTCCTTTCCGAACACTTCGAAAGACTCTTTGGCGTCATTGTAAGACCTCATCTAGAGTATGGAATGCCAGCAGCTTCACCATGGATGACGAAGGATATCGACTTGCTCGAATGGGTGCAACCCAGATCAACGAAGATGGTCGATGGCCTTATCAGGAGAGGCTGAATGTTTTTGGCCTATTCCCTCTCTCTTATAGGCAAATAAACTACAATCTACTTCGGACATTCCGGATTGTCTGCGGCCAAGGTTGCTCATTGAGAACGGAGAACCTTTTGAGTTTGCCTGTATAAACCATTTACACGGTCATCCTTACGAAGTAAAGAGGAATGATAATAATAATAATAATAATAATAATAATAATAATAATAAATGTTTACTAAAGACCCGTCGGGGTCCCATAAAAGCAAGTAAAAATAAATTTACATGCGAATTTCGGACGAGGTAGGCAAAATCTGTACAAAGTGCAATTCATAGTTTTAGAATTAGTAGTCCGTTAAGAAAAATGCTTACCGAGGGGTGAAAATAAACTCCACACGAACATTCAAAAATGTTTGGATTAATTTAAGAGGAGAAAAAACCCCTCGATAAAAAATCAATAACAGAAAAATGCGGGCGGGACTGGCCTGCATGTGGCGGTATATAATGAATTATAATCGGACATCGACAGGGCGGAAATAAATGTCAACTGTATATGGCATTGTATAACAGATTTCATGAAGGGGTGAGTAGGCGGGTCAGTCAGGACTGACCTGTATTTGGCCTTGAATAAGGCAAATAAGTGGCGAAATTGAAAACCAGTCTCGAGGCGATAGGAACCCAGGTGCGGTCGGTTACATTCATCCGAGTCCATCCAAGGATGGGGCAAGGGAGATGCGACCAGGCGACTAGTATATGGGACAGAAGGCTTTACCAAGAGAGTCGATGGATCGCATTCTGTGAGGGCACGATGCATGAACTGAAAAATTGGAAAAATTAGCATTTCTTATGAGAGATCTTAGGAAGCGAGACTACTCACAAAGGAAGGAAATGTGAGCAGATACGGAAAGTTAATGGCGGCGTCCTAAATTCCTGCAAAAGCATTGTACACAAAGAGATTTATCAAGGACTCTGCCTCTAACCCTCCAAATACATACAAACATATGTCGGAGATTGGCATGAGAGCATGTCGCCAAGTCTTTTTCGATGTCAGACTCAGGGATTGGTCTGCGAGAAACTTGAGAAAGTGCCCGCACAAACCGTCGGAGACGGTGCAGGAGGTTGGTATCATCCTCGACTGGAACTCGCGGGGTTGGAGAGATCATCCGACCGGGCAATCCGGTGGTGGCGCCAAACAGCATTTCGGCTGCAGAGCCATCAATGTCTGGCTTATGAGAGGAGCAGACGCCCAACAGGACCAGAGGAAGGTGGTCCGTCCAGTTTTCCGGGTCGTCTGCGGAGCTTATGGAGGCCTTTAGCTGGCGGTGAAACCGCTCAACCATCCCGTCGGCTGCCGAATGATAAGCTGTAATGCGGATGCGAGTAGAACCTCAAAAGAGGGAAGAGACTGGAAGAGTTTAGATTCAAACTGGACACCGCGATCAGTGGTGGTAGTAGGAGGTGTATCAAAAATGGCAACCCAACGACCGCGGAAAGTTTTGACGCCTGTTTGAGCAGCGACATCATGCAGGGGGATGGCTTCTAGCCATTGAGAGAATCGATCTACTCAAGCGAGGAGATGGGGACAGTCATTGGACAGAGGCAGGGAACGTAAGATGTCCAGGTGAACATGCCTGAACCACGCATCCGGAGTGGAGACGGTGCTGATGAGAGCTTTGTTGTGCCATTGGACATTATTCCGTTGTCGGCCGGGACACGCTCTTGTCCATTCTTTCAGGCCCTTGTGCATCCCAGGCCAGACGAAGCGGTCGAGAACCAGCTTGTCGGTAGCCCGACTTCCAGGGTGCCATATGTTGCGCAGGGAAGCGAAGACCCTTCGGCGGAGGGATGGCGGCACAAAGGAGCGGTGAAAAGTGATGAAGACGCCTCATAGAACGATACTGTTGCCAGTAGTCAGTGGCAGATCTTAAAACTGGAGTCCGGAAAAGTCCTCGTCAAAGGGAGAACCAACACAGCGTTGTTCGGCAGCCATATCAGCTAGGTCTGTGCTGAAATAACGTTGAAGATGTGTGGCGAACAGTGCGTCGGACATCTCACTGCGTGACCAGTCGATGTAGCGGATGTCTGAGGTAAACTTCGAGATGTAGTCCAGTTGACAAATTCCCCGGGGTTGA